CTTGGACCCTTAGGGTTAGGCTTTAGCTGGGGTCTTCTGGTCAGAGGTTCTGGTATTGGTGTAGTGGGCTTGCCTGAATTTTGTGCCCACTGTCAACTAAAACCTGTGACTACCATGCGCAGGAAACCCCCAACCCCAAACCCGTTTACGGGGATCGCCTAAGAAATATTATGACGTAGGTCCCTAAATGGGATTTCTGTTATCAGACGGTCCTAACCCCTAAGCCCCACTAAACTCCAAACCCACTTAGTTGGCAAAGGGCTTACGAAAACCTGGAGTTCCTTAAGCAATTAAAGTGGAATTCCATGGAGTTCCTTGTTGTTTCGGGGAGAGTACTGTGAGTCTTCAAGAGCAGCACAGATCGTCCTGCACGCGTTCCAACAGGACCCATGTATTCCTAAGTGCAAGCCGCGATCCTCAACACCTAGCCAATGTCTTTGTTCATATATTGGATGGGTATGTCGGAAAGGCGTTTGGTATACACGAAAAGCCGAAAATTCTATGCCGAAAGTTCTATATTCCTAACAACTGTAATTTCCCAAGAACGCACCGCCCCCCGGCCACCTGCCTCCCCCTTCCGTTTGAACCCTATACAGCTGTTTAAACCCCTTCTGTCATATGTATGCATGTAGCCCAAGAAGAGGAAAATGAGGACACTCTGAGAAACCCCTGAACCCTATAGTCTAAAACTTTATAGGCCCCCATAATTATCCCAGTCATAACCTCCCATAAATGAGTATTCACCACAAGGAGCCCTAAACCCTCAACTCCAAACGTACAGACAGAGGAGCCGCTCAGCTAGCAATGCTGGTGGGCTTGATCAGCTCCTGGGGCTTTTAAGGTTCTCAGGGGTGAGAGTTATGCGTTTAGGCGGTTTAGGGTTTGTTCCACATAGGCAAACACTCAAATCAACACTAGATTATAAACTATATCACCCCATATCTGCTAGCACGGTTAACACCAGTGCCTCGAAATATGCCTGCCTAGGGGTCGGGGTTTGGGGTTTGCTCGCTGTGCTCGGTTTGCTGGAAGGTGTTTTAGGCATCTGCCCTGAAGCCTGTATACTCCCTAGTCTAGACATCCGGGAAAACTGACCAGAACCGGCCAATGCGCCGGCTTCTGAATCGATGGGTATGAATGGCATCTTACTCTGTTACGAGAACCACATCGTCTTCAGTTCCCTCTTACAACATCTTACAACCCCATGTGTGTCCTTTTTCATTGCTGTGAATAATAATATGGCAACAAATCTGTTGGGGATAGCCACTAGCACCTTGGCAGGGGTTGCAGAACCGGCACAAAAAAACGATTCAAAGGAATTGTCTTGAAGAGCGGAGATGAGGCGCGTATGGTGAAGCCCTTATTGTTGCACCGGATGTTCATGTGGCTCGTGGCACGCGAAGCTCACAAGTTCACGAGAGAAGCTACCAGTTTCTTCAAGCATGACACAAGCAGTCAGTCCTGACAAGTAGCAAGTGATGCGCCACACGGACATGAAGCACACGCCGCCAGCGTAGAGTTTGTTGCGTACTTCCCATAGTTTTCTTTTCTGCTGCTGGCCATGACCGAGGTGGGCTTGATGCCCCACCCAACCCGAAACCAACACCCCCCAGCCCCATGCCCCGCGAGTGGCCAAAAAGAAGCGCACATTCAAAACACCCTGTAAGTCTTGAGCCCCAAGCCCAAGACTCCGGACCCATATATACACTCCGACATCTGGCCCATCAATTAGAAGCACCCAAGCCCTACAAACCCGTTCAAATTCCACGTCTTTCAGGTGGACGTAGATCTGGAGCCGCGTGAGTTCCTGGGGCTCTTCACTACATTTGTTGTTCTCGCCTCGGTCTCGCGTGAAAGACGCGTGAAACGAGCCTTGTAGACGACGACCGCCACGACCGCCATGTGTTACGCATGAATTCCTGCAATGCCTGCTACGCATAGAATTTCAGAAAGCTGACGGAGTGCCGAGGTTGCGCCATGCCTCGCGCACTTCATCCCCGGAGGCCAAGGAACTGCCAGCAAACCGAGGGCAGCAACAGAACAGCGGCACCCCGATACTCATGGGCCCCTGAAAGGAGGATGGCTTAGATGGCTCGGAATCGTCGCTCTTCAAGCAGTTTTGGCAATTTTTTTCAAGGAAAGCTCACAGTCTGATGTCTGTCATGTCGTATGGGCTCAAGCTTTGCTATTTTGCGTGTGTCCTTTCCCGTCGCTCTGTATCCCCTTCCTTTGCAGCGTGTTCCGCACTCAGTGAGCCCTTGCAGATGCTTTGGCCAACACGCACTTGTTGGACCGATGCCCTTGCTTGCTAGGTGATGGCTCCTGTTCCTGCATGGGCCTTGCTTTTGCAAAGCGACGAGTCTGCGGTCTTGTCTGTTGACTCCAGTCAAGAGGCGGTGGGCTTCTACTACGTCGACTCGGTGGGCAATCTCGTCTATTTGTCCTACCTTCCGGCGAAAGCCTCAGCCAAACTGCTGTCACAAGTCTTATAGACTGTTGAGTGAATGAAGATGAGTCCTGACTTCACGAGCAGAAGGCTAGCGGCTAGCCACCACATGTGGTAGCAAACCATCTCCGAAAAAAAAGGGGTTGACACTCATACAAGTTGGCAAACAGCACAGGAGTAGTGATGATTAAGTAGGAATGGTGTTTCCTTACCTGTTTAAGTTTCAGTCAAGCTTAAGCTTCTTGTAGCTACAGGCTTTTAGTAGCCGTCGTAAAAGTTAGAAGCAACAATTTGGGCCTTCGTGACTACGTAAATGAGGTCGCAGCTGGCAACGCCAGCCGCTTTACCCAATTCGACTGCGATGGCCTGAGCGAGTGGGCGTTTGCAGGGGTGCCCCTTTGCCAGCAGGAACATAATTCCCATTGTTCCGAGTTCTTGCGCAAGTGTGTAGAGGTCGCCAAAGCACGGCCTACCGCAGGCAGGTTGCTGAAGCATTCGAAGGCTGCTCCTATTTGTAATGGGGGTTCTGCGGATGGGGGTACAGGTATCTTTGAAGACTCTCATAATTATGTGACATGATGAAAGTACTACATTCTCCTTCACATGTTTCGGTCAAGTACTACATGCTCTTTCACATGTTTCGGTCAATACCGTTGCCTATGCTTGAATGTCATCGCTATAAGTTCGGTATGGTATACGCGTGGTGTTGAATTCAATGTGGTTTCGAGGTACTGTATGTATTCACCTGTGATAGATTTATGGTTGTCTGTGTAAGGATGGCTTATGTCACAAACTCTTGGTTTGTATACGGGCTGACTTCACCGTGCCAACTTTGCGCGTTATTGTGTGATAGCTGGCACAATCACAGACCCTGATGGACCATTGCCTCATTGCCGATACCAGTCATTCTGTTGGGCTGAGTCACCATGTTACCGCGTTGTCATAATGTTGGCCAAGGTTCGCGTGAGAGGTCTGGAGCTCTAACGCAGGACTGCAAAAAGAAGACGCCGCCTGGAAATGACGTATCACCCACCATGCAGTAGTTGCACGTCCGCATACGGTAAGGCCCTGACGCTTTACCTTGTGACTCTCGGATAGCACCCTGTTCTTTGTGTCACTTCCATCCCCACTCACAACTCAGTCGCACTCTATTTCTGTGAAGAAAGGGGGCAGGGACGAGCAGAGAGAAACTTCATCATGTAGAGAAGCGTTGTTATTCTTGAAGGGGAGTCTAAAGTCCACAAAGGCGTCGCACGGGGTTGTTATGGTATACGGGGCGCTTCACATCTCACACTCAAATCCGAATCAACAGCCTCATAAACATCCTGAGAGGCCCGTCAAGGCGCCAGCAGCTTTGCTTCGAGGACAAATGGGCCCGCCGCAGGGAGACCCACCGACTTTGCAGGCATGGCTCAGTCCTAAGGCTTAACGGTCTATAGGGCTCAAGTGGGAGATTGGAAGTTGAGCATTGTGGGTTTTACATGTTTATGGGTTTGGGATCACTGGATGTGCATCTTGCGCGGAGTTGTACTGCCATTCTTCGTTGCTGCTTGGTTGCTGTTTTTGACGCCTGCAACAGCCTACGTGCCGACGCAATGGGTGAAGGCGCATTCGGCGGAGCTGCTGCTGCGGCTGGCTCTTCGGATGATCTCCAAGGCCGCGAGTTCACTGAGAGCAGGGTAGCTGAGAGTGTATTTGGGAGTTTCCACAGTGAGGGAGCTCCAATACTGAGTCATGATTTGGGGAAATGCCCATTTGGTGCCTGGCCAGGCTTCTTCTCCCAGTTTTGCTGTTCTTTCTACATCACTTTCCACTGCAACTGTCTCAGTTGGGTTTGGGCTGCAGAACAGCCCCTAATCTCTAAACCCAAATCGCGGGGTTGAATGTTTATCCGCGATTTCCTGTGGTTTTTGCGCAGCTCGACTGGCTGGACGGCCGGACGTACTGGAATAAGTACAGGTTGAGGCCTCGATCCTCAGGGCCAACTTCTGAGGGGCCTGTACGGAAACTTGCTTCCCCTGTAGAAAGCGATGATCCTTCGAAAGTCCTAGCTTCCAGTACATTTTCCATATGATTATTGTCCATGTGATTCTTCTTCACATACTGATGGCACCTCTAACCCCAAACTCTAAATAGTAGTTTCCACGTTCTTTTCCATTTCCATTTCCCTACCTTAGGGTCCTAGGACTCAAATAATGGGGCTTCGGGGACCTATATTATAATCTGAATGGCATGTGGAACCTAGATCCCTAATATTCGAGTCCTTGCACCCTTCCGGCTATCTACCCCCAACACAACCCTAACCCTAAACCATAAGCCCTAACCTACATAACCCCAACTACTGCTGAGTCCCCCAGCTGTTGCTTTTTGCTTAAGGCTAAAACATGCAGGGTTCGGCGTTAAGGTTTAAGGTGAAAGGGCTTCAGGGCTTAGGGTTCAAGGGTTTAGGGTTCATTGGTTTTAGGGTTTAAGTTCCAAGAATTTTTGGGTTTCAGATTTAGGGTTCAGGAGTGCTCCCGCACCCTCCGCGGTAACTCCCTGTTGGATTTGTTAGGGTGTTTCTATTGGGGCACCCCTTAAAACGTGTTTCCCTAAACCCGAGTCCTAAACCCTAAACTTACTAAAATGAAAAATGGATAGGTTTCGGAATACTTTCGGACCGGCCCACGTCTGTTGCTGTTGAACCCCAAACCCTAAGCCTTAATGTAGACCCCTGATTAATAAACCCCCTCCTTTTCAAGGGCCTTAATGTTACAATCCTTATTATAATTCCTGTTAAGAGGAAGGTTAATCATGGGTCTACATTTAACCCTAGACTTGCGAAACCTGACCTTTAGTATTGCAGACCGGTTCTCTCCCATTCCCCTATATATGTGTACACTCCTTGTATATCCCTAGTTTGGGTCTTTTTTTATATTCACAAATCTAGCAGCTCCCCCGAGGCCTGATGGTAGGTTGCATGGTCCTTGCTGAGATTCAGGATAAGCGATAAGGGACCCTGATTCCGACAACTCATCCCTATATCCCATGTCACGTTCCATCTTCTTTTCCATGTCATGCTCGAGTTTTGATATGGTAGTTTCCCAAAAATAGGGGGACCCCAATATAGACCTAATATATTGTATCCGTATGTGATCCTTACCATAGGGACCCCCCAAAACGTACCCCTTATTTTGGGAAACCACCATATTTCACTTGACCTTCTACAGTTCATATAATATCAGCCCTCCCTCGTAAAACATTTGTCGCATCAGTCTCCGCGATTGTCCATTTTCTGTTGGATTCTCCATTGTCTCAGAGATATATCGTGTCCCCATGTTATCTGCCCGTACCTATATTTTATGGAGCCCTTCATGCCTCCTCAACAACACGCATATGTTTCCATAGACCTGCATAATCCTTACAGAAGCCTCATTAAACCTAAGCCCTGAGGCTTAAACCCTTAAAAATGTCGAGAAAAAGGCCTAAACCTCAAAACCCTTTACTTAAACCCTAAACCCCTAAACCTTAAACCCCTTAACCCCAAAAACTTAAACCCCTAAATTTCTGAACCACTAAACGTTGCACTCTGAAACGTTGTTTCAGGGAGCATCTGAAGAACCCGCCTCACAAACTTTTGGCCCAACGATATCTGAGGCCTGCTCCTTGGAATTCTACGTTTCGGTTTCGTGGTGGACTTCATGTCCCACTCGGTGCCTGAATGATCCAGAAAAATCTGTGGTTGTATTCGCTGGACTCCTAAATCAACTGACATCAAACCCTCCATCAACCAGACGGTGGGAGGCAATACTCAAACTTCCTATATAGCCAAATAAACTCAACAAACCCCAGTTTCCATTTCATGTCCCTGTTTATTGCGCGCTGTATACTTCATCATGGGCCCAGTTCAAGTTGTAGGTAATGAGCGCTTTCTGCACTGCCTCGGGCGTCATTATCGCGACTTCGCAGCTGAAGCATGTCCTTGGGATCTCCATGAAGCGCCACAAGTACTTTGGCATGGAGACAAGGCATGCAAGGTGTGACGGCCGAGAGAGGTTTCCAATATTAAGTATACTCGCAGGGTCCATGTACCCAATAATTAGGTACTTGGGATTTGGGTAATAGTAATTATAGTACAGTTTTTGGGTAAGTATATGATTATTGGGTACTTGGACCCTTAGAGGGTACTCGCATGATGTAGTATGGCCTAAACACTGTACAACGATAATTCACGAGGAAACCAGAACGAGGATGTTGTACAGGGATGCAGCCCCGGGTAGTATTCGCAGACTTTAGGGTTCAAAGTAGGTATGATATATGTGTATATATATAAAGCATCCTAGGCATAAAGACCTCCTATTCAACTTCCTAGGTTTTGTTATGGCTTCCAAACTTTGGGCGATTATTAAGAACAAGCCCATGACAACCTTAAACCCTAAATAGTACTTTCCATTTTTTCCATTATCTTCCATTATCCCAATATACTCCAATATAACCCTAACATATTCCCTCATATAATCTAGTAGTTTCCACCTGATTTTCCAGTATCCCCAGGGAGGCCCCAGGCACGAGAGTTCCCTGGTCTCGTCGTTGGTCTATCAGCTACATCTTTTTCAGTAATCGAGAACCTGAGATCACTCAATGCCGCCTTGCGCATTTTGAGGGCGGTTCTCCTGTTGCCGAGGTACTGGTGGGAAACCGCAAGCGACCTGGTGATCAAACTCCCTGAGTCACCTGGACTTTAATCCTGTACGGCGTTCAGCTTACGCTGCCCCAATCTGACTTACATTCAACCTCACATAGGCTCCATCTACATGGGCCGCAGCGTTAGCTTGGGGGAGGAGGTATTGTTTCTGGATGGAGTGTTTAGTGGGCAAGAATGTCTTCTTCCTCATCCGGCGGGTCGTAACCCTGCGAAAGGGCTAAAGGTCTTTCTGCTCTAATGTATCCTGGCGCCCGCATGACACACGTTGCGGTTTGACTGCTTAGGTCGGATGGGGCCACGATCGCTCTTGGGTTCACCTTGCTGTTCTTTCTTACTTTCATGAAGGCCTGCCCAGCTTGCTTACAGTACCGTTGGTGGTGCAGTTCGTATGCAGTGGCTTGCTTGGATGGTGTAGGTAATGCCAGCTGGTTGGTTTAATCCTTAAAATCAGAAGGGCTAACAATATAGAAGAGGTTTTGGGGAGTTGGCCTAACATGGATCCCTTTCGAAGTTTTTCAGAACAGTCGAAAAGAGGGAGCACCACGCAGGGATAGATCTACGCAATCATTGGCTTACCCTCAGGATCCAGGTGCCCTATTCTCAGCTACTTTCAAAAGCCTAGCTCTGTGTCCTCAACGGACCGTCAGGGTAAACTTTGCCTGCCGCTTTGAGTTTGTTAGCTCAGCTTTGTTCCTAGGTTAGCAGTTGGTACTCAATATCCTGTATGACCTAAAGCACCTTGTGCCTTGGGGAGAAAAAGGTATGGAAGTATGCTAGGTCATGCGGGTGGGCAGGAGGGGTATACACTTATAAAGGACAGGATAGGTGACAGTTTTGGCCCCAGTAGGCCTCACCCCCATGATGCGGCCATGCAGGATGTTTCGTAGCAACAGCAGCAGAGACGAGACGAATGGGCAGTCATTGTTGGGTGTGCTGTTCCGTGAGGCTTCATTTGATTTCGGCATGATACGAGTTTCTGGACATTGGGTACTTGTCCTAAACGTTTGAAGGCTCATCACTTCTTGAGTGAATATTATTTGGTCTCGCGGCGCCTGGAAACCTGAACAACCTTGTATTTTGTACATCTTTCTTGACTTTAACGCCACCCCGCTAGCTCCTCCAAAGCCACATGTCCACACTGCGAAAGATTGACAAAAATGGATGGAAGCGGAAAGGCCCTTTACTTAGTCAAAGTACTTACTGCTCCTGGAGCGTTCGGTAGCCTAGGAACAGCGTTTCAAGACTTTTCCCGGCCCTCAGAGCTGCATGTTTCAGGATGTAGCATTGTCCAGTAAACACCGTAAGCACTAAACTGGGAACCATAAGCGCCTACATGTTGGGGAAAGCAACAGGCTCTGCTGCAGGGCTAGCACGAAGATGTACATGTTTAACCTCCAAGTGTCTACGCCCAAAACCCCAAATCCAAGGGCTCAACTCCCTCGACCCGAATTCTCAATCACGAGCACCACTCCTTTAAAAGCTTTCATAAATATGGGGAGCAATATGACCCAATATACTTTACCTATTCCCAAGAGGCGGTCCCCTGAATTTTCAAGCCCCACTCCCTCTCAACCACTCTATCATGCCAGTGTCCCCTTCGTTTCCATTTTTTGATTTGCCTCTCCGTCATCATGACACAGCCCTATATCTTCTTGTATACCCCCGGAGTTATACCACTAGATATCCCTCTATGTCCCTACATATCCTTAGAAGCCTGCGGTTTTAGCTTGGAGGCCTGGAAGCAAGCTGGCAATGCAGAGAAGCGCGGCAAGCATTGTGTCTGGCGGTTCTTTCCGAAGCGAAAGGAGTCCGTTCCCTTCAAGATCATGAAGCTTTGCAGCGCACCGCGTAGCGTTTTTTCTTTTTTGTCGATTTTGATATTTCGATAGTTGCCTTGAACGCTGCAGACCACAGACTGTGTGTTTTCTGAGGTCAAAGTTAGCGTGACTGTTGGCCCCAAGCCCTAAGCATCTCTGAGACAGGAAGCATTCAATTTTACTGCGAGCACTACGGAGACCTCTGCGGATGTAATGAGAGCAATTGCTGGGACTGGGCAATTCTGGCCATCCTGCCTCAAAAAATCATGAGAAGGTACTCTCCAGGTCCCCACGACATTAGCAGCGGGTTTGAAGGCCTGTGATCGCTGCTCCCGCTGAGAGTAAGAGGCTTCGATGTTACGTGACTTTGTGGCAGGGCCCAGCGAGACTACAGTCCTCATTCTCGAGACCCCTCAACCCCCAAACACTAAACGACAACTACTATAAAGCCTTCAGGAAGCTGTGCGCAGATCTGTCGTCGGTGCTTTGTGTGGTGATCGGTTCCTTGGGAACGGTTTTCACGGCAAGGGAGGTTGAGGATTAAGGATTAAGGGTTCCGGTTCAAGGCTTCAAAGGTTTACGGGAATCATGCTGCGAGTTTTGGCCCAGCTTAAGGTTGTCATGGGAGCAAAAGTTATGGCTTCAGTAAGCAAGGACCGCTTTACAACCCTCAACCCGAACTCCTCGCCCAGCTGCATCCTAATGGAGGTCTCACCTGGAGGAGCCTTGGTGGGGGCGGTTCATGGTCTCCACAAAGTTCAGGGGGAAGGCAAGGCTTTTATGAAGCTGAAATCCCAAATGCTCGACCTTCCTAGGCTGGGCTTCAAATAACCTGCCATGTTCCTAAGTTGCACGGAGCCCTCTAGCTTGACTTGTTTGCTCTCCTCATGTTTCTTGAAACCAGGCTACAGATCAAACGACCAGGACTAAAGGGGCTCAGGTTTTGAGAGACTTGACATGCACCCCCATCCGTGCACCTCGTACATCGCCCGCGTAACACTGCTGTACGCCACAGACAAATTCCAAAAGGGACCGGTCGAACCCTGCTGCAGCTGCAATCTTCTATAGCGCTAGATCATCGCTTGGACTTGTTTACGCTTAGTCGGAATGTAGGACTTGTTTCCTTAATCCAAGTGCAACTGACTACCCGAAATGGGCCATTCTCTCTCCTGCCAGTTGGGTAGAAACAAAGCTGAACCCTTAAGCCTAAACCCATCGATCCCTCCACCCTGTGTAATGTCTCAATTCAACAGTACTTCAACCCAGAAATCCTGAACCGTCAACTTCAAAGACTTTGATTAAGCCCTTCACGCCTTAACCCTAAATCCTAAGCCTTAAGCCCCTAAGCCTAAGCCCCAATTTAACCCTAGACCCCTACGCCTCCATTAAGCCCTAAACCCCTGAGCCTGAGTTAAACCCTAAACGCCAAGCCTCAATAAATCCCGAAACTCCTAAACAATAACCTTAAACACTAACCCCTAAACCCTAAGTCTTAGAGGTAATAAACCCTAAACCTCTAAGATGTTCGAGCAAGGTTGGGTTTGGGGTCGCATCTACGTTGCGGCCGGTGTCACGTCCGTCAGGCGGGATGCAAGGTTGATAGTTACTGTAGGAGCGGTTTTAGGCTGCGTGGTTTACCTAGAGTAGCCAATGTACCTATGAAAACTGATGATGTTCCGGGTCTATGATTTTAAAGGCCTACTTGGAAGCCAGGGGTTTTGTTTATGATGACTTGTTGAAACGATGGTGACTTTTTTGAGGTGGGGCTCCATGCGCAGTACTACTGCTGATGCTTTGGCAATACCAGGCCTGTAAACCCTGAACCCTGCTTGGGGTCTAGGGTTTTTAGTCTAGGGCTTCGTAATCTCAACCACCTGCAAATTCGTAGTCCAGTAATTACCCTCTCAGTCGCGGGTATAACCCGTCAGGCTGAAGGTAAGTGGTTGCAGATAAATCCTGAACCTTACATGCCGACACTTTCCCAGGCCAATCGGCGACTCTGAAAGCGACGCCAGGTGGCCTTTGGCAGCCCAAACCCTGTAGCCCCCAATGCTAGAGGGTTTAGGGCAAAGAGCGCAGAACCTTTGAAAGCTTTGCAATCCGTCCTTTCATAGCCGTGACATAGCTATGGTAGCCTGCCGCACTTCAATTCCTTGCTTAACTGATTCTCTTTCTCTCTCTTTCTCTCTCTCTCTCTATATATATATATGTATATATGTGTAAATATTTGTGTGTATATATATATAGTATTTCTATATAATATACTTCATGCTCAGACTACATGCACTTGCATTCCCCCACGTGGGCAATTGTGGATGTAGGGTGTCAAAGACTGTTTCTATGCAGGGGGGCTGGATTCTAAATACTAGGTCTTTACTCGTGCCTACGGGGAAGTTTGTTTATAATTGGGAGGTAACATAGATACCATTCTATGGATCCTAAACCCTAAACCCTAGTTTATTTAGAGATTATGTAGACTCCCCCAGTTCCCCAAAAAACAACAGTATGTCAAAGCTACGACCTTCAGAACCCGACTCTATAGGATTTAGGGCTTAGGGTGTAGGGTATAAGCCCAAGGGAGTACTGTTTTTATTTGGGTATCCGACTTATAGTCCCTGGTGTAGGGTAGGCTTGTTGCCTCTATTTGGGTCTGGTATTTGATAAGAAGAATATAGCCTTACTAGGTTTAACCACCAAATAACTAACCCTAAACTCTAGACCCCAAAGCGAAGGAAGGCTTCATCTTTGTGCTTCCCACCTTCGACCAGTCCACAGTGGATATGATCGCGCCTTTGGGCACAGGGGGGTTCAGAGTTTGCTGTGAGGGCTTGGTGGTATTGCTCCATAAAGGGGATCTAGCGGTTGTATGGGGATGTGATCGGGTCTAGTAGTGTTTAGGATTTATAAGCAATAGGTGCAAGCCTTTCGTGAACAAGAAATTGAAAACTTACATGGAAACTGGGCTTACGTTGGGGTTTTAAGGGGTTTTGTATTGTAGAAGCTTCACATATTTTCCCCCCTCCCTTCCCCCAACGACCCTTCTATAATTACATTTTTTATAACACCCAAACCCTATTCTACTTACATAAAACGGCCCCAACATAGTGACATAATGCATCATTCTGGGGATGTAGGCTTTAGGATTTGAGGGCCAAGGGGTCAGGATGTGGGTGTCTAGGGCTAGGGTTAGGTTGGACATTTTGGCCATGAGTTTTAGGGTTTAAGGCTTGATGGTTTTGAAAGCTCTGGGTCCGTTTCTGGCATGGGGTCCGTATAGCGCTTCTTTTGCATAAAACTGTTCTGGGGATGTAGACCCGTACATGTTGTATGATCTGATGGATTACAGTTCTGTTGGAAGCCGTGTCGTGCTGTTGAGTTTGCAAAGGACCCAATCCCTCAGCCCTGCACACGACCCTTTGGGGCGCCCAACGGTCTGAGCGTTTAAGCAGGTTTGGGCCTTACAGTTTAGGAGGGTTTAGGGCTTGGGGTCTAAGCTTTAGTGCAGCACCTTTGGTGTTGATGCTTGGGACCCATGCTGCGGACTGCACCTTGAACGGAAAGCTCGAAGCCATAACGCCATAAAATCCAAGGCCCTAAGCCACCTCAACCCGCAAAGCCCCTGCGCCCTAGATTCTTAAACCCGAAGACTGAAACAACTGGGCCCTGATAGCCTAAACGCCAATGTATACCCTGAATCTCAAACTTTTTGTTTTGCTCCTGAACATTGATTCTAGAGCTCCAGATAGCCCGATGTAGGAACTATTTTAAGGCATTGTCACATTAGATCCCCATGTACTCCCAATGTAAGTCGAATCTATCTAGACCATGCGCCACAGGGTAAAACCCGAACCCCAAGGTGCCAGCCGCAATGATTGCTATCGTGGGATTCTTAGAGACGATCGCCGTCGGAGGCAAGATGGCCAATGAGAAGCGGTACAGCTACGATGCGAACCAGGACTCTGCATTTCCGGCTCGGGGTCTACAGTGGGTGGAAGACTCTTGAACCACTTAAACAACGAGGTATATTGCTGCATGTACACATACATAGAGATAGAGGGGGGAGATGAGAGAGAGAGAGAGAGAGAGTGTGGCGCAAGATTTCCTCCGCCCAAAGTAGGATTCAGAATGCAGAGTTTGTGGTTGAGGTTCTTCACCTGCCCAATCACCACGCGTCTAAGGCTGAAGGGCTTACAAAGCATTTGCCCATAGTGCTGATAAACAATGCGCCACCCACTAGTGTTACAGCGACCTGTAGACCTTCTAGCCCTGTCCCCGAAATCGCTATAAACGCATGCCAGCTATGTCTATGGGTGACAGGAGTTACTGGCACTGGGGGCCGCCAACATTGGCGGAGCTTTCATGGCGGCGTTCCCGATTACTGGCGGCTTTTCCCGGACCGCTGTGAAACCTTGCTTGATGTTAGCAGGGAATTCAGGAATGGGCTCTTATCACAGTCCCTACCCCAGCCCCTTTCTCTCCAGACGACACAATGGCATGATAATCGCCCCAGCAACCCTGAAATTCAGCTAAACCCCTTGCACTGTAGTCCCTAAACACTTGTGAACCCAAACAATGCTCAACCCTGTAAGACCAATGACGCACCAAGGAACGCAATGTTTGGCGCGACCTCCCAGTTTGCAGGGGCCCTGACGTCGCCGGATTATCGTTGAGAGCATTCAAGTTTTTCTGGTTCAGTTTCAGCGACGTCCTTACGAAACAGGAGGGACATTCTCAGCGTATCCTGGAATCCTACAGGCACCCTTCACAATGTTCCACAGAACAAAAAGAGTCCCCGCGCAGCAAGGTCCTCTTGAAAATTGTGCAAGGGTATCACAAATACCATGCTGCCCGCCTTTACATGACTCTAAAACCCAAAGACCAGGACAAGTTAAAGGTGAAATCCTGAACCTGCCGGTTTAGTTGAAGGTTCATGGGACTTAGTAACTAGTTTTTTCCGGGGGTTGTAGCTCTTCTTATAGTCTCCTCCAAAAGGCCTCATAGGGGCTACCCCAGTTCTAAAAGACGTATAGACAGTTTCAAGCGGTTACTACGTCCCATGAACCCGTAAACCCTGCAATTGCGGCCCAGGTCGGTGATCGTTGTGCTGGCGGTCTACCTCATCATGCCGGTAGTGGAGGTGTTGCCCCTGTCCCATGGATCAGTCTTAGATAGCAATTAGGCCTTGAGGCACAGCTCTATTGAAGATGATTACAGTTGATTCGAGGCTTGGGGTGTATTAGGGCTACTTGTGTTTAGGGTTAAGGGTTTAGGGATATTATGGGTTTAGGGGTTCTGGGCTTTAGGGCAACGATTCAGCTGAAAGTTTCAAACAGTAGGTGCCATGTCTTTTCCATTTCCAACCCTAAACCCTACATGAGCACTTGTCTAGACTCCTAGTATCCCCCTTAATAGCCGCTATAGTACCCCCCTATATAATCCCCTATACAACCCCCCTTTAGGGAGTTTAGACTATAGTACACATGAGCCTTTTTACTTCATGACCCTAGACCCCAAACCCTATTCCTAAACCCTAACTCTAAACCCTATAGTAGTTTCCGTTTTATGTTCCATTACTCCAGTATAACCCTAAGATTACCCCAATGAGCTTAAGGTCGGCCTTTGCACCTCGGTATGGGCCCTTAACCCTGGGATCCTTATATACCTACGATATACCCTCTATGTACCCTGAAGGGTCCCTAGAATCCCCGTCAAAGGCCTAAGGCCATACTTCTAACCTTAGAAATGAGCTTAGGTCGGCCTTGGCACCTCTTATCATCCATGGTGCCATTGGCGTTACCGACTTCAAGACCTTCATCTCTACCTTCAAGGCCTTTCAGGGTGGTAGGGCATGGGATTTGGGGACTGAGGATCTTAGGGTGGAGGGTTGAGGGTTGAGGGAGTCTTGGATGTAGGCGTTCAGGATTTTGGGGTTTATGGTTTAGGATCCAGGCCGACTCTCTTAGATCGTATAGTTCGTAATCTATGGACCCCATGGTCCTGTATCATTCATTTTTCAGTAAGCGTAAAGCGGAGGACCCTTGATTTCAGAAACTACCATGTTGAATGGGTTCCTGCTCCTTACTCCGTATGGTTTCGGTTAGTCTACGACCTATCAAACTACTGTGTATGTGTAGGTAATTAGGACTCAAAAAATTCAAGGACTTAAGCAAAGCTCCCCCCCTTTAAGCGGAAAAGTGTTCCACAACGGAAATGTTTTTCTTAGAAGCCAAGTCGCATATGAGCTATAGTCAAAACTCCTTAAAGGAAGGTTATATAGGGGATTATATAGGGGATTATATAAGGGACTACTATAGGGGTTATTAAGGGGGGATACTAGGAGTTTAGACAATGGCTCATATGTGGTAGCTTGCTCTTGTGTGCAAGAGGGATTCACGTAGGAACAATGCAGCAGGCTATGGTAGAAGTAAGTGACCTGGGGATAGGGTCGAGGGCGTGCGGCATGTCCCAAGGGCTAAGTAAGCTCTTAACCTTACCATTGGTAGCTGGAATGAAGTAATGGATAAGAAAATGGAAAGTACTATAGCGGTTTTTATTGGGATTACTATCAGGATGCAATCCTTTCTGGAGGCCCGTTTTTTAAAGAAAAAAACTTAAAATCGTTTTTCGGATTGTCAAACACCTCGTGCGTTTCTGCCTGCCTATGACTTTTTGCTGTGTGCCTCTTGCTTGCTGCTTTCATGCAAGCTATTGAAAATTATAGCAGATCGTGGGAATGCTGAAAGATGATGGAACATAACAATGATGAAAACCTTGCAATGATCTAAAATCTAAAATGACGAACAGTGGTCAAGCATGGACAGCATTGAGAAAAAGCAGGGGGCTGGGGGGGGCGCAGCCCGCCCCCCCATAGCACACCAAATTCTCTGTAGGACCACCCCTTACTGCAAACGTGGTGATGACATTATTTTTCTTTGTTGTGGCAAGCATGGAAGCTTTTCAAAAAGGCCGCTCGCAAACACCAGGGACAGAGATGGTGAAAGATGATGGAGCCTACCGAAAGATGACAAAGATTATGAAACCCATGAAGAGTATGTAAACATGTGAAGGAGGATGGAGAGCGATTCAAATATATGAGGTTGGCGAACAGTCTCGAAAGTTATTGAAAATGATACAAATGATGACGATTGTGGCAACTGCTGAAAGATGATGGACATTATGACACTATTGAAAATTTTGAAGCATTGTGACACATAATGGAAAATGGAAGGCACTAAGCAAAAAGGAAGAGGCAAGAAGAGAGCACCGATAGGGAAGCTGAGCGTAGTGTCAGAAAGCAACTAGCAGTCAGGAGATCGCAGGCAGCAAAACAGGAAGCAACATGTTTCATCATAGTTCATTTGATGGCGCTCTTTCTGATTGCTCATGATCTCTTCTGATGTGCAGCATATTTCATAAGATTCCATAACCTGCGCCAAGCTTCATAAGTTTCCCTTTTTTAGCCAGATTGCAATATTTTCGGCACATCTCATCGTTTTTAGCATGTTCATCATGTTTCATCATATTTCATGATTCTCGTGAGATTTTCCATATGTTCATGCTATCTTCTCATCTTGTATCACGCTTCATCATGTTCATCGTTTCGCCTGCATTCCCCATAGGCCTTCTACATGTTTTTAGCGACACCAGCTTACAGCCGTCCAGCTACGAGGCCAACAAGCTGGACTTTGCAATCATGTTTCTCACCTTCGCCGTCTCTGGGCAGTCTTGAGGAATACTTTGGCATTAATTACGCTAAGGATCAGGTTTTCAAAGAATCAACACTTTGGGCCCTGAAGCGTGTAGACCGTCATTACTTGGATTCGTTTGGATCCTTGCATTGCAGGCTAGGGTTTAATACCATTGATTAAAATATTGGGGCAGTTAGGGGCTATATAGCGATAATGGAAAAGAAAAGGGAAAAAAGGGTTTAGGATTGACTTCTTTTATTGGCTTTGTTTCTTCATGCCCTAAACCCTAAACCCTCTTCATGTGCCATGTAATGTTTTGACATCCTTCATCCCTTGGCCTTGACATCCCAAAACCCTATTACGCCTTAACCCCCCAAAAGCTTCTAAACGCTAAGCCACAAGCCCTAAACCCCAAAGCCTATAAACCCCGGGATCCTAAGTCCCTACAACCCCTACTTATCCCTATGTAACCCCCATATACTGTAGTAGTTTCCATTTCATTTTCCATTATCCCCTACGCCCCAAACCCTAAACTCCAAATCTTAAACCCTGACTCAGGTCTCCCTGGGCATCACCGTGAAGGAGGGTCTAGCAACGGGTGTGTGCTTGCGGCTGGGCTCTTCTTAGTGGAGGGTCCCCAAATAGCTGGGTATAGGAGTTTAGGGTTGCTAAGAGTGGATGTATGGTTTGAGTCTTGGGTCTTTGAGATGCGCTGACAATTTTGGGCACCAGGGAGAAGGGTGTTGGGAGGAAGCAGCGAGAATGCATGAGCCGAAAGCCTCCTCAAGGGAAGTGTCTATGGAACACGCATTACGGATGAATGGCTTTTAGAATTTAGATGAATTTAGAGTGTATGGTCTGTGTATCATCATACCATATCTATAAGGTTTACGCATCTAATCTGAGAAAAGCTTATGCGGCGAAAACTGAAGACCAAAAACCCTCAGCCTGAGCTTGCGTGGCGACCGACAGATGGGAGTTTCCACCTCACGTACGCCCAAATGCTATAGCATAATTGTCAAGCCCTGACCCTGCAACCCTTAAACTCAAACCCTAAACCCTAAACCCAGAACCCCTAAACCCCTAATCCCAACCCTAAACCCAGGTCCATCTTGAAGCTTACCTACGAGATCGCCATGCCCAACATTGCCATCTGCGGTCAAGTGGAAGATGGCACTTTCCGCGACTTCCGCTACTTGGGGGGTTTTAGGGTACGGCCCATGTTGGGCAACATTTGTCAATTATATATGTACATACATACACACCAAAACCCAATAAGGAATCTTCAGCTTTACTTTGATATGATACCCCGAGAATGAGCCATGACGTATGCATCATCCTGCATTGTCGACTTACCAGAGTTGTCTCTTTATAATATTGGCCAGACTAGAGGCAGACCACCTAGGGACACCGAGATCTTGATTGCAAAAGCAAAGGGAGCTCCAATTCAATCGTCAGGGAACGTGTCAAAAAGTAGAGGTAAGGAGAACCAAGAGACGGCATGCGAGCCCTAAACTGGATTTAGGAGATAGGGTTTAGGGTTAGGGTTGATCCAGACTGTATCTTGCCTGCGACACCTCTTGACGAGCATGGTGCTCATGCTACATCTGACTGGCAACTGTTTCTTCAAAACGTTTATAAATTCTTTCTAAGGACCCCCCCCAATCCCTTGGCAATCCCTTTGTGTACTTAGGCCCATGGGTAACTAACCTGATAAATTCCACCCTCACTGGCTTGGCCGGCAACTCGATGATTAGACCGCTAGGGCTGGTACACCTTGAGCGCATACCCAAAAGATATAAAGTGCCCATAGGGTATAAAGTAATCCCTGTATTCTAGAGATTAGCAATATGGTTTGGGTTTGTATCCCTAAATGTGTAATTACGATCCTCTGGGACGGGCTTCTGATTTGCGAGGTGCGTATCTCTAAACAGATGGAAGCCCGCACCTGTCTAGCTTTGAGCAGGCATAGCCTCCTTTTTGGTTATATTGACGCGATAGGGGGTACTAAGCTCCAGGCTTTGAGCAGCTTACGTGTCGGTACACGGCAAATTTCTCACGCGAAAGTCATTAAATCATGCCGTGTTCAAAGAATTTTCAGAAGACGTTATGCCGAACGAAATCACAACTCACCTCAGGCTACTACCCAGAGGCAGCGATGATGCCTCAGTGCAACTTGTTTTTAATCAAAAGCAGTGAAGCAGACCTGTCGCCGAAGGGCTTGACTCATAAGACAGAAGACCTAATATGGGAGCAATGCACGCACATTAGCTTGTAATAATTTCGAATTTAGCTACCACGTTGCCTTTGTGAAAGTAGCTGTGTGGTTGCCTATTTTAGGTTCATGAACACGTCCCAGAAGCAAAACGTCAGTACTCCTGTAGCAGCCCTAGACCCTGGACCCTATACCTCACAACGTGAAGGTCCAAATCTGTTGAGACAATCTCAGATTTAGACTCCAGCTGGCTCTCGCTGTGTTTTTTCTGAGGAGATCCCAAAGGGGCTGTTGGACGTTTTCCAGGCCCCTAAAGAAATCCCTGGGCCAAAGCCTGAGCCCTAAGCCCCTGCTGAAGCCCTGAATGGCAAATTTCAAGCCCTTTCAGCCTTCAATCCTCAACTCCTAAGCCCAATACCTTGTAAACCCATTCTCCAAGGTGTGGTACTCCGTATGGATGCCAGCTTGAGCTTCGCGAACACACGACGTCTGCAGGAGTTCTTGAGCGCAGTTTATCTTGCTGGGTCTTAGTATGGAATGAGGAATATATGTGTGTATATATATATACACAGGTATATATATATATATTATGCATCTATATATATATATACATATATACATACCTATGCATGGTGCAGTGCTGGCCAGCCCCCAGTGGTATGGTATTGGTATAATGTCCCACAGTTGCTAGCATTCTGGTAAGTGACTGTCACAAAGCAGCATCAAGACCTGCATGTTTGAGAGGTCAGGCGGATCCTCCTGCTCCCCTGTGGTTTCGTGGGTAAACCCTAAACCCTAAACCCCAAACCCTAAACCCTAAACCCTAAACCCTAAACCGCGTCAAATAATTCGTGTGTGCTTTGTCCCAAAATGGTCGGCTAAGAGCCAGTAGGTCATGCGTGTGGGGCAAAGAATGCTTCAGGTTAGGGGTTCTGGGTTCGGGAATCCTTCCTTCGGTGGCGGCTTTGCGGGTTTACGGATTAAGGCTTCGGTTTCGCAGATCCTTTTGATTCGCAAAGTTTGACCCACCTGATGCCACCTGTTTAGCAGCCTTCTGCATGTGCTACAGGAAATCCTGAAATCAATCAGTTAGTCAGCTACGGGGCATGTAAAAACTCAAAGGACTCAACATTGGCGCATCTTGAGGTGGTTCCGTGTAGGCAGTTGGGGCTTAGACTGTTGGGTTTTTGGGTGCATAAGGGCTCGTGGGGGCTTCTGCTTTTTTGGATGTCTATTCTGGTTTTCGCCTCAGCTACAACATTGAATCCTAAGCTCTAAATTCTGAGCCCTGAACCCAGAGGCCCCAATCCAAAACCAAACTCTAAACCTCAGCCTCAACCCAAAATTTGTAGGCATTTCGCAACAGCCGACACAGCACCCTGCGCTGGGCCCACACATTCCCTAAACCTCCAAGTCAAAGTACGTAATATTCATACGAGGGTCTCCCAAAATACGGGGTACCCTTTTAGGGGTCCCCATATAGCATGTGTGGGTCTATGTTTTGGTCCCTCTATTCAGGGAAAAGGGAAACTATCATATATGCTTCCTGCCCAAAACTCATACTATAACCCCTAAACCTTAAACCCTAAACCGCTATAATCCCAGTGTTGCAAAATTCTAAGAACTTCTTTTTTTTTCCGTTGCTTTACCGAGTATCACGGCTAAGGGCTTGTTTTGAAGGCTGAGGGCGCTGAGGCTTCTGAGTTTGGGCTTTAGGTTTTTTCGGGCCTTGGGTTTGGGGTTTGGGTTTGTGGTTCAAAGTTTGGGTTTCAGGATTTGTGTGTTAGGAGTTTTGGATTTAAGGGCTTAGGGTCTGGGTTTAGATTTTAGGTCTTAGTTTTTTTGGCTGCTTAAGGTTTGGGCTTGGGGATTAGAGTTTGGTTTTACCGTTTTGTTTTTAGGGCGTAAGGTTATGATTTAGGCTTAGGGTTTGGGATGTTAGGGCTTATGGTTTGAACTTGCAGCTGAGGGTTCTGGGCTTTTGGGTTTTGGGGGTCGGAGGTGCAAGAGAAGCTACGCCCACAACCCTGCCATGTAGGATTGTCCCGTAGAACGGCGAGCAGGTACTCATGGAATACTACCTGGCATTCCTGTTGCAATCTATATCCTAGGCATTAAAGAATATAGGGAGGATCCTAAGTCGTGCATGACCTTGTCCGCGTAAATCTTGCACGTCCGACGAGGGTCAGGAAGATTTAGTTAGTAGGCTGATAATGCAGACCACTTGGGCTTATCAGAGGCCATATATGGGCACAAGTAGCTTTACACACGTTGCTCCGCTGACCCTCCGAGTAGATTCTTCCAAGCATCCTCAAAAGCGAGGTTCAGCTTGCGTGCGATGAACGTGGCTGCTGCTGCAGATCCCTCTGTGAACTACCTGCTCCTTGGAATGACCTGATCGAAGCCCTATATAACTCTTAACCTAGAGGTACCATGTTCGTGTTCTGTTACAAGGCTGCAGAAGGGCTTTCGTAGAAGCGCATACCCAGCCCCATGTTGTGTACTAAAGCTATGACATGCCAACCAAGAAAGTAATAGGGAAACCATTTGGGTGGTACCTGAGGATTCTTGACTGCAAGTCGATCAATGGCACGGACATGACCGGATGTGAGGCCAGAACTTGCAAGCATAAGTTTACCAAAAGAGTGGTGTATGTATGGCTGGTTGTCCGCATTACGCCACTTCTTTAGGGCCCTGGACAAAATGTCCCCGCTGCCATACCTGACAGGAACCCCATCAGACTGCTACAGTCCTTGTATATCACCTAGGACCCTGGGGTCCGTTAGGGTACCCGCTTATTGAGAAACGTCCAGTGCCCATCTCTAACCGCCCGCAGGAAACCCAAGGTCCGCCAGCTTACCCTTAATCAGGGAAACCCCCCATATGGAGGCTTCCCAAAATTGGGGATATCCTTTTGGGTTGGGGGTCCCTACAGTATGAAGATTACAGTATCGCGAGGATGCCATCAGCTAAAAAAAAATGAGCTTTGTGAATGGACGCGGAGGGCATTTCCACAACATCAGGCCTCATCACAACAAGGAACGCGCGCATCGGCTCCCGTAGCCAGTATTGGCCAACTGCATCATCATCCGTTGGCAAGCAATTTGCTTGATTTTCGGCGCGGTTTTGCTTTTTGAGTGCCAACAATGGTCGGGCACCGGCCGGACCATTTTGGGGGGTCACAAAAACTTCAAATTCCGGCACAAAAATGTCGACCGAATCCTCTCAGTTTCCCAAGCTGCTTTGTGCTCCCATCCTGGTGACCAAATTTGCGCCCCATTTCGGGAGTTGAATTTTTGAGCTGTTGTGGGGCCACAAGAATTGACCGCAGCCCAGAAAGCACAGTATAGTAGTTTGGGGTCTATGTTGGGGTCCCCTATTCAGGCCATTCGCCATATAGTTAGGTTGCTCT